CAGTCAAATACTGGCAGAAATCAAACAAATAAAACCTGTCTGGCAGCATCAAGTTGGCCCAGATATCTTATATCATGCTCTCAGGCACATACATTTATTATATATATTATATATATATATATATATATAATTTCAGCTGTCAGTGTGGAAATTGTTGAATCGATTTTAAAGTTTCTCAAAACTACAGTAAGAACACATATCCAGTTATGAAAACAAAACATGGACATAATTTACCTTTCCAGGAGTGCTTGACAAGCCAAAACTACTCCAAAACCATATTTTTAACTCATCCAGAAGGCAAAAAAACAACCCATAAACATATGTAAGGCATATATGCTTCAATATGGGAAAAATAAGAAAAAGAAACTGGGGAAAAACAGCTTTCATGCATTCAAGGTGAAAAACACTACTTACCAAATAACTTTAAAGGTCTTCATATTCTCCCCTCAAAACATCTTTATTCCCAACACCTCTGAGAAAATTATTTATAGTGAGGCGACGAAAGCTAAACTTGTTAGAAGGTCACCGTCTTGCTGGATCTGATGGAAACATAACCCTGCCTCCAAGATCACACCAGCTCTATGGTCACACAGGAATATAACGTTCTGTGCTTGCTTGATTGCTTCATGACCTGCTAGACTTGCAGTAATTGATGAAATGGCTTGTAACCTTAATGTACCTGTGCAGCATCTACATTAATGCAATGGCTGCATCGAATCGTCTATTGACCTTTTGCTCTCTTGAGAACAAGACCCTGAGATACTTGAACTCCTCCACTTGAGATATTAACTCACCTAATCTTTCTCTACATTTCTGATTTATTTCATGATCCAAAATATTAAAGTGTGGCACAAAAAAACCCCAAACAAAACCTGAAGAAATCTGTAACCCCCGCCCCCCCGCCCGAGATGTCTTTTATAGGTTTTCTATTCAAATCAAAACTATTTTGACTAAAATAAGCTTTTGTTGACACAGACCACTTGATATCCAAGTAAACTTGATTAATCATTTACTTTCTAAATAATACATCACATTCCTCCATATGAAGCCCTCATAGCTAAATAACACTACAAAGATCACATATTTCAACACAACACTGAATCTCTTGGTTGTTTACTCCCTACAGGGGTGGCATCACACCATGACTCTTTTTGCCTGCAGGAACCTTGTTAGTCAGCCTGAGTAAGCATGTGAACTGGGGTTTTACTGTAGAAATGGTTAAGAGCATAATTTTCCTGTAAAAAGACAGAAAACATAGATTTACAAAAGACCGAGTTAAGCAAGTTTTCTTGTTATTAGTTTAGAACTGTGAGGTCAAACACCTACAGTAGGTTAAGTTTTTAGGCAATATGTAAAATGTACATATTGCAAGAGTTTGCATAATGAGGTTGATAAAGAATTAAGAGACAACGTTAATATTACATCTAAAGTTCAGATTTCAACATCTCTTGCTGAATTATAAACATTTCACCAGAACATAATCTGGTTATTGCCTAACCTTAATGTGTTGTTTCTTTAAAATTCTCACTAATTACTCAGCTGTCATAATAAATAACCCCCCAAAATCTGGATAAAGCTGATGGTAATAGAGTTTTTTGTGAGTCTTTTTTAAACGCAATCTTTCTTTTTGTTCAATAAAAAGGTATTTTAGATAGGATCTTGGATCCAGTAAGAGCACCTGTATAAATTAAAGTATATTAAAAAAAAGCTTGCCTAAAAACAAACATCATTAAAATACCTATTTGACTTTAAACACCAATGGATTTATTCATTATTATCTGATGTTTAAACAGCCAAATGTTGCAAGTAGTTCTAACAGGCAGCGTTATCGCCTGTATGGTGCTACACTGTGCTGATGATGTGCCAGCTAATTACACTATAATGTGTCTATCTCATACTAATAGCTGGAAGCTGCAGTTGCACAGAAGGTAGGGAAAGGAAGAAACACCTGTACAGACCCTGTGCAGCTTAAACAAAGCTGCTAGTTCCTGTCTGTGTAGTTCAATGACTTCAGTCTTTACATCCAAATGTAAGAATAGTGAAAAAAGAATGTGCAACTCATAGTTTTATCAAAGCTGAAAATAAAGCTGCTGTATAGAATCTCTAAAAGAATTTGCAGTGACTAATTTTAACCCAAAAAATTGTAAAATACAGCACATCCTGTGCTTTGATTTTAACATCCTAATATGATATTTTAGTTGCATGCTTTCTGACCTGTGTTATAGGTGAATTGAATCTTTTTTTTTTTTTTTGTAGGTGTATTACAAGACCCCTTGAAGAAGTATCCACTTTTGCAAGAAAGTTTTTGTGATAGTTAAGTGTGAAGCTGCAGAAAAAAATGACATTTCAAAATGACAAACTTAACTTTGCATGGATAAGCATGATTCCAAGTGTTTTAGGTTTCAGGCATCTGAGTTATTACTGCCCATGAATGGCTGTCCTACATTTAGAGGAAATTAAATTAACTAGATGCTGTCGTGGGACTAACTTTATCAAATTAACAAAGAAGATCAATCTTCAAATAGGCAGTCACTACCAGCCTTCAATTTACAGGGCCTTGTTGCATCAATTTGAAGAAACTTTCATTTTCCTGAAGCACAATCAAACGTGGGTTTGCAAACATTCTTATGACACATTCACACCAGAGGGATTAATCATATTTTAGATTTTATTTATTCCTATTATAAGAGACATATAATGGTATTCTGTGAGACCAAATTTATAATAAGTCAAGAGGCATAGCCTGGAAATCAAACAGAGAAAAACATAATACTGAAATGAGATCCCGCCCAGAGATAATGTATTTACACAAATCAAATACTGACAGAGCTTTAGGAGGTGAGGCATCCCCAAACAACGTATTACCAGCAGGTAAAACCAAATCAAAGAAAACAAGCAGTTCCACCTCAACAGTGTAGCTGCCACAATTCCTGTTATGTTCCTATCATATGTTCTTTGAAAGGACTTTTAATACATTGCTATGCAAATGAAATCTTTTCTATTATATGAAATATTTTGTACAAATGGTAAGCTCTGCCCTTTAGAGTTTATTTCATTTAGGAAATGACCCTTTGTTAACAAACATTTATCTTTGAGGCGGTAAATGGCACATTGATGTTTTTACAGAACTGATTATGGTTCCAGTCAACATCGAGAGTAGGGACTTCTCTGAAAAGTCAACCAATGGCCGGCTTTGAAGGGATGATATGTCCAAGGCAGAGATGGCACCACCTTTTCTGATTTAAATCCTCAAAGCCAGAGACTTTTGGCAGCATGTATCCCAAACCCTTCCCAGGGGTTTACCCCAAAGAAAAAAAAGGTATCTGTGGGAAGCATACAGTGTGCACTTCTGTATGACTGTTCTAAAAATTTCTAAAGATGAACTTGGTAAAACAAAAACAAGCCTGGCATTATCCTCTATTTTCTTATTTTTATCAAAAAAGAAACTAATTGTTTATAGCAACTAGAAATAACCAATAGAAATTTAGAACAGCTGTTACACAGAAATGGTAAATTGAACAGAATATGACAAAAGACCTAAACTTTGCTGAATCAAATCAAATGAAAGTACCGTCTGCAACAGTAGCCTTAGTTATCCCTGGCAGATTCAGCTTCAAAATGACATTCATTCGACAAAGATCTTTGCTTCCATAAGGAAATAAAATAAGATAATAAAACATAAAACCAGAATAGCTGCAATGGCATGCAATTTATTACATTTTAATAGGCAAAAGGAATATTAAAATGTTTTTATACCGTTCTCAAAATTGAAAGGAGAATTCCTTGTTAAAGGAGTCAAACTGTTCTTGTAATTGTGGAGCAGCTTTGCATAAGTACTTTGCCGTTTTGGCAAATTATCTTTGTGGATGAGCTTAGAGTCTTTCAGGCTGGAAGGCCTCCATGTCATCACCACAATCTTTAGCCCCTTCTACAGATTTGCGAGTGTCAAGCCAAGATTCTAAAAGGTTCATTCCTAAACAGTATTATAACCCAATTGGATAAATTAAAACATCATTTAAACCTAAATCTGCCAAAGATAATATTTTGCACTGTATTAGGATGTATGAACTTTATCTTTTTTGTTAACAACTAAAACATAAATTACATAAAAACTCTTCAAAACATAAAGCAATGGCACTTGTAGGAGAAAAACAATGACCCGGTACATAGCCACTCAAACAAGGATGTGAAAGGTCTCAGGCTGTGCGTTATCTTTGTCCAACAATCCTCAAAAAACACCTCCAGGCTACCAATACTTAGGAGGAAAATCAGAAAAATAAATGAAGCCGCTTCATTCCAAAACTCTGAATTAGTCTGCAAAAATACTGTTTTCTTTACATATCTTAAAAATAAAAAGGGTAATTTTTTCAAAATATGTACTGATAAAGAAAAATAGTTCTCCAGATACACAAAACATAAGACACAATTTCTTAAATATCATTAATACTTTTAAATGTCCAATTGTGACAAGAATTTATTGTGGATCTTTCATTCTGGAATGAAACTCTTCAAATCAACAATGGTGACAACTGTAGAAAATCAAACACCAATAATATACTGTAGCATAGTAGCCAGTTGAGCCCCTTGCGTTAACCCTCCCCCAACCCTAGTTAACACACCATCATTAAATAAGGCACACATTTACACATACAGTTAAAATTTGGCTAGTAATTATTTCTTTATTTACAACCAATAGCCACAAAGTTAATACCTAGAATAACAGGAGTCCATTCTATGTTGCTGTTCATTCTTATATGCTGTGTCATGTTTGTTACGTCCTCTGGGTCCATAGGTATATAGCCTTATTCATATATTGATTTTAGAGGTTCGATTTTTTTTTCCGTTGAAGCACCAATCTTAAAAAAAAAACATTCTTAAGAACGTTAATGGACCCAAGTTTGTCACTTTATACATGACATCAGCTAAATAAAGAAAAGATGGGTTTTGAAGTCAATGGAAGCTATTTTTTTATTTATTTATTTATTTTTTTTTAGATTTCTTTTCTTTGTATCAACATGAACAAAGTTTCTTCAGCCAACTGTCAAATTTGGTATCTGCATGGTTTGGTTTCTCCTATTTCTAGGTGAGAGGGTTTGGTATGCCCAAACATGAGAGTGTACAAGTAAGGCAAAGACAAACATACCTTAGGGGAAATTGCTTAACTTTTCACCACAGGTTACCAGTACTGCATATGTATATGTATACATATACAGTGTGGATATAAACACACATATACTGTATATACACACACATGCATAATATAAACACATTCTTGAATAGGGTGGAAGGGGAGAGGATACAAACACTACATCAAAAAATGTTAAGCAAAAGCATGATCTGAAGCACTGCAGGAGCGTCTGGCTTTTAAGTCTTGAGGATGAGCGATGTTTCAAGGTTCGTCCAACATCAACTTGTCCAAACGCTGAATTGCATTGTAAATCCACATTGAGGACATTGGCAGCCTAATTTAACAAGGTGGCATCATGTCACCTGGGTTGGCAGTTCTATAATAAGCAAGAAGCTGAACAATACCAATATGGTACAAAGATATTTGTTGGACAAAACAAAAGAAAAAGCAGAAATAAGTTTGGTTGAGGCTTTTGTCCACAGTGAGACTTGCTACCACACAATTTATTGTGTTGTTTGGTCAGGGTCTGTCACCTCAAACCCAGAGCATTTCCTTTAAAGGAAAGTTTCTCACAGATGGCATATAGAGAACAGGGTCCTGTACTGTAGTCTTGGAAGGTCCCTTCTCAGTAGTTGTACTTGCCTTGTTCATTGACAGGGGAAGTGGCAGGTATGAATAGCGGTTTCGGAGGGACATCCGGTTTGAGAGAGGATGACCGGCGGACGATCGCACCTCGGTGCTGGATGTCATGCTGTTCACCAGTATAGCTATGCTGACGTGCCAGGTACCCATTTGGGATGAGAGGATAGTGAACCTCACAGGCGCTACCTGTAGAGTTCATTCGAGCCAATAGCGGTGGCGGCTGTTGAGGTCCACCACTTCGTTGGCTGAAACTGTGCTGGCGGGGAATCATTCCTCCTCCGCCTACTGCACCTGCTCCGGACATCTTGGTAGCCGCAGAAATTAGTGAGTGCCGCTGAGAGGAGTGCCTCCTCTCCAAGGTAGACTGATGGTGTGAGGGGATGTCCGGAGGAACATCCATTCGACGTGTAAGACTGTCCCGGGGTAGGGTGGATGAGCTGTAATAGGGGGCCGATTCCGTTTCAGGAATATGAGGTTGAATTCGGTTGGCAAAGACAAGCTGTCCTCCACCTCCGCTGGCCAATAGACTTGAAGGACTCATTAACTGAGAGGTCTTGCTGCTGTTTGGATCATGGATGTGTTTTAGGAGTTCATCCAGTGATGTAACCTCCATTACCTTCTGAGGATAGTTGGGGTAAGGCTGAGCTAAAACGCGCTCAACATTGTGGATTTTGCGTTCCTCAGGGTGCATATGACCCATTGCTGGATGTCCATTGGGCAGGCCATGGGAGTAAGAGAAGACCTGCTGGGGAAGCAGGGCAGAACTGGGTCTTGAGCTTATGTTGTGAGACTTTGGTTCCTTGGCATTGTTGCAGTTCTGGTTCTTTTCCCATTGGTTCTTAAAGGCTTTCATGCTCTTAATGGGCAGTTCAGGAGTTGAATCTGGTGTAGGTAAACCAGATAGCTCTGAGGAAGGGTGAAGGTGAGCGTGGTGAGGATGGACAAGGTCTCCCATTGTCATTCCAGGATGGCCGAATCTCCTTACTGGGTGATGCTCCTTACCGTTGGTAAATAAAGAATTGTAGATCTTTGGAGATGACACCTCCATCTTGTCTTCTTTACTCTGGCTATCCAGGAGACCATTAAGCTTTGCCAGACTTCGGAGTGACAGAGCATGTGGGATCGGGGCCTCTGGATCTTTTGACAACTTTTTGGTCTTGTGACTTGTGTGGTTACAGTAGCATGAGACCAGGAACCCAGAGACAAAAGCCCCGAGGACAAAAGCCACCAAAACGCATGCTATCAGAAGGGTGTAATGGACGCTGTGATTGGTTCTGTCCAGCTCTGGGGGTCTTCTCACACCTTTAAAATAAAAAACAACATAATTTGGTTAGAATTTTGTTCATGACCGAGATTAAATCCAATAAAAGAAAAATGTTCAAAGGCTTAAGTATAACTCTGAAAGGGGCTCAAATAGATAAGAGGTTGTGTTTACAAAAACTGTGAAACAGCATGGGATAGGTATTTAAACCGAGCTCCTGGCCTATTCTCCTTCACCTGTTAAGAGATCAATATACCCTTCCTTTCTAAGACTGGTAGAGACCAATAGCTCCTCAGTCAGAGAGAAACAAGCTCTAAGATGAGTTAGAGCTTTAAATATTGATGAAAACTCAGCAGCAGAAATCTGATGTCATTTTCACAGACTGATTTCTAATGCAAAGATCAGGAGTAAGAACACCTGGTTATGACGAGTGAGCCTAAAATAACAGGTTCGTTCTATAGTTCACAGAGTGTGGCAACTTTGCCAATATGGACTCAAATGAGGTTGTCATACTCTTTCAAAAAATGAAGTCAAGGGGGGCATTTGTGCAGCAGTGCACTATAAACTCAAGGGTACCAAGATGAACTAAATCTACCATGAAAATGTGTTAGGCTGTAGTGACCCTCGCTCTGTGTTTGCCTAATGGCGTGAAAGGCAGAGATGATTGAGAAGAGTGAAACCTGCCACCTTTCATAATCAGAGCTCATTTGCAAAAGGCTGCTGCCATCTGTGGTGTCAGACCCTCCTTTCCACCTTAATGACAGTTTCTGTGAAACTGATTAGTCTCCAACAGGAGGCTGGCAGAGCTGCACCGAGGAGGTGTTTGTGTATATGTATATGTAGGTGTGTGTGTGGAGGGGGGTTGCAGGTGTTGCAGACAACTAAATTCAACAGTTAATGAAAGCTTTGGTGAAGAAAACAAAAAACAATTAAGACTAATGATACTTTATGAGATGTTTAAAATGATGATGAGATGGCTAATGAAGGAAGGCTTGTTGAATAATTTGGTCTGAATTTGACTTTTTTTTTTTTATTATAGACCCACACTTTTCATAAAGTATATTTTAAATATCTTAAGGTGATCTTTTTTGTAAATTAAATCTCAACACATGCAGAAATTGAGATTACTATAATTTTATACTGTTGAATAATTATGGCATCAAAGCCAGATCATTCGTCTCATAGCCAATCTTTTTTTTAGCAACCTGTTGGGTTATTGTGCCAGTTATTGTGCAAATCAGTTTTTTTTTTAAAGGATCTTTATTCCATAAACAATATCTTAGCCTTCTTTGAATGCAACAAAGAAATCTAAATGCATTGGAATGTTTAAGCTGTGATGAAACTGACTTACAAATGACAAAACGACTTAATGTACAGTATATAAAAGTTTGAACAAAGTTGGTCAAAGTCATTTTTTATGGATAACCTACAGTAATATGTAAAGCAAAGGTCCTTTTTGTTAAATACAAATCATACTATATCAGAAGCTTCACATTATTAGGAAATACTTGTATAATCTCTATTTAAATCTTCTACATTCTCAAAGCTAAAAGATTAAGGTATTTTGTGATGACAATAATCAAAAACACGTCCTTAAAAATAAAATCAGTACAAAATGTCCTAAATCAGATAGCTCAATATCACGCCCAAAAACATTAGTTGTGAAGCCATAAAAAAAACTGCACTTATGAAGTTGGTAAAAAATTAAAGTAACTGCAGATGGCCGCTCAGACAGAGTTTTGGTTCTGATAGAGGTTTCTTTCTGTTAAAAGGGATTTTTTTTCTCTCCACTGTCACTTGTTTTGAGGAATTGCAGTGGAGTCAATGACTTGATGTTTTCCTTAGAAATCTTTGAACCAATCTGACTGATTGATCTGGTTGAATTGTCTCTGTAAATTGCCTTGAGATGACATATGTTGTGACTTGGTGCTACATAAATAAAAATAATCTCATGTACAACTATTATTATATTTTATTTGGATAAAATTTTATTATAAAAACTGCACCTGCATTAACTTATAAAAAAAACAAAATCTTACAGTACTAGTGTCTGAGCTTATTCAATTACAATTATTCTACTTTCATTATTTATATTTCTAGAAGACAGATTTAATGCAATAGCATCTACAAACACTTTGGATATTAGTTTGTTTTCAGCTTAAACACACTGAGGTTTTTGTCGGAGGATGGCCAAACATTTACATATCAGTGATGACAAACAGGGAATGTCTAAGTGATTGGACTTGATCAAATTCTTTTAACTCCTCTCTCTAGCCCTGAAGATGAAAAGTGCAAATGGATCAAATCTGACCTAATTTTCCTGAGCCTCAAACAGCATCTGACACCGCAGAATCAATCAATATGGGAAGACAACAGTGCTTTAATTTGGCCGATGATACAGTGGAAAAATGTAATGGAAATGTAATCATCGGGTGCTTTTCCACCATCTTCACATCCAAGCTGCAAGGCTCTTAAATTCCAATAAATCTATAATTTAAACCAAATTTTCAATTTAATGTTTTGAGTTTTTAGGTAATGTATTTTTATTACTACTTAAACTTATTATCTCATTTAGAAATCATGTATCATAAGATGCTTATGAGACAGTTAATACATCTAATTTTAATACTATGCTGCCTTTTTCCCCCCCGGAGCCATGTTACAATCAAACATTTTTTAGGAGCTGAATGCCTACTCTTCTCAGTGTGCTGCCTGAGTTTAGTCACCCCAACACTACCTGCGTGCCATCTGCTCTTCATGGACCTCCACACCACCTCCTTTAATCTGTAGCCGTAGGCCAAGGAGGTGTTCCTCCTGGCTGGAGGGTATGACTCAAGCGGCACAAAGCAGGGGGTGAAACAGGCAGCTGAGGTAAATAAGACCCAAGCCTATGAACAGCCTGTCACAACATGTTTCATGAGCAGCCTGGGTGACTCAATCACTGCTTATGTGGGACATAAGGTGCCATCAGGCACAATTAAATGAAAACTCTGAGATTTAGGCAAGCAGCTAGGTGGCGCACTAGAGGTACTGGCAATTTTTTGTAAACATTGTGTTCTTTCCATTCCCTCCTGTGTTTTTATATCAATGCACATCCCGTTCTGCTCACATTTATTGCCATCATGGTTCAGACTCAAAAAAATAATTTAATATTAATTCATTACTTTTTCCAGGCAGAATTAAGCCTCTAGATCAAATGCATTTAGCTAATGGGAAAAAAAATACATGGCAAGTCACTGTGCTGATTCTGGCTATTTAAAGGGGAACGTTTTTTTTGTTTTTTTTACATTGGGCCCTTGATTTTACGTTATTACATAGAGTTCTACTCACCCATAAGAGTTTTATGTCATTTGGAGCTGTTCTAATGTTCCATTAGGCTATATCCAAGTAATGTCTTCCTACGGAAGGGGAATCTCTTCAGAACAGCTCCAATTGACACAAAAGTCATATGGGTGAGTAGAACATGATGTAATAACGTAAAATCAAGGGCCCCTTTAAGTTTTATATTGTTAGGCTCAAAATTCACATACAACAGTTCTCTTTTTTTATTAGCAGAAGCAAACATATTTATATTTTAGGTTTTTGATGGGATGAAATAAAACATGGTTCCTTGGATTTTATAAAGAGCAGCTGGCCCATTACATAACAGATCCTTGCCCATTGTTAAAACTAGGTATAAGTTAGTTTTTCAACATCTTCATTCGTTGTTTCATACTGAAACACAATAGAGCCTTAGAAAAAATCTTTATCAAAAAGTGGTGCTTTAGACCACACCTCCTTTGGGGACAATAATGATATGAATTCAGGTGAGGTCTCAGGAGTATTTACCAAAGGCCCCACTTACATTGGGACAGAAAAGGTGCATTTTTTCTGGCTTCGTTTTCCTAAAATCAGAAGGTCTCTATGGAAATTCTTTGACCCTAAGATGGCACACAGTTGTCTTAATAGTGAGCTTTTGAAGGTGTTTTCATTTCTCCTAACATCCTCTTCTTTGTATGCTGCGTAGGAATCAATACCGGTCCTCGTTTGGCCTCCTGGCAAGAGACTTCAAGATAAGGACCTATTCAGAAAGTGTAATAAGTGTTGAAACTGTCATTTTATTAAAAGAAAATGGATTTATGATAAAGTATTTTCCACACTGAATAAATGTACTCAAATTAAAGGTTAGTGCAATGATAGTCGCAGGCACTCGATGTGATTTTCTAAATCAGATTATTGGTGTAAATGATAACTTCCTCTGGACACCGTTTTCAATGCCATGTCTTACAATAATTTCACAATGTTCAATCAGTGTTTACACAGCGTGAGTCAGTACTCTATCATTATGACCTGATATTTCAGTGCCAACAAGACATGGTCTTGCTTCAGCGAGGTTTAAAATAGAAATATCCAAGTCTGCCAAAAGGTAAGAAAAAAAAGAAAGACAGATGGGCTGCGTGAGTTGAAGCAGAGCAGGGAAGGTACGAGAGAAACAGCTAAAAGGAAGAGATGAAGAAATGAAATTCACCCTTGGTTGAAGAGAGGCATGAATGTGAGCAGACTCGAAAAGCCCAGAAACAGAGGAACAGAAGCAAAACTAATGAAAAAAAGATTTAAGATGACAACCTGAAGAACAGGGAACAGAAGAGGGCAAAGAGCAGATTTAAAGGAAACGAGGTTAAGGGCTGAAGCTGCGTGAGAAGCAGGCAGACTTGATAGGGTGAATGACAGACAGTCACTCAGCTGGGGTTTGAACCCTGGTGCTCTGCGCAAATCTGATACGCTATCAGAAACCCCCCCACCCTTACTTTTCAGAGCGCTGCAGGAAGACAAGCAGTCTGTGGCTGCATTCACACCGTTAAAAATAGGCAGTGCAGAAGGTTATGAAAAGAGTTTGCTGGGTTTGCATCGCGGTGCCTGTGCCACATTTCACTAACTGGCGTAAGTTCTCCAAAATGGAAATCATGCTAAAAGATCTGCAGGTAATTTGATCTTCAAACAAAGCACAATACAAATGCCAAAATGTCTGGTAAAATAAATGGCTTTTGTCTTTGCTAACTCC